ACCTGCAGCCTCTGCGTTCTGCGTTCCAGTGATTCATGTATCTCAGCCTCTTGAGTAGCTGAAACTATAGGCGTGTGCCACTATGCATGGCTAATTTTTGTACTTTTAGTAGAGACAGGGTTGGGTTTCACCATGTTGGCCAAGCTAGCCTTGAACTCCTGACCTCGGGTGATCCACCCACCTCAGACTCCCCAGGTGCTGGAATTACAGGTCCCAAAGCAACATTTTATCTTAAAAGAGGGTAATTAAGCTTCACCTTTTGTGACAGCATCAAATACTGATTAGGAAGTGAATACAAAACACTGCACCTGGCCTGTGGTATGTTTCTAAAATTGGCCTGTTATTTCATTTTGTTAACTTATTTACCATAAAGCAGTTTTTGAAGTTTTGTATCTGAAGTGGACTTGTGTTAATATGCTTTTTTTTTTTAAGTTGACAGTCTTAAATATAAGACCATTAAAAATTTTTTTAATTATGTTTTATTTTTGTTCATCATGGGTTTTATAAGATAATATTTTTACTTGGAATTTCGGCACAGTCAGGAATGATCAGGTATAGAGGTTTAGCTTCTCATTTGGACTCGTTATTTGAGAGTGGGAGATTTTAAGAAACATCTTTTTATCTTCAGTCCTGTAATTCCCATAACCAGGCTAGCTGGGTATGGTGCAATGAAATGTCCTGCTTCTTTTTATGCACTTCTCAGAGTGGGTGCCAGCCCGAACAGTGCACTTTTACAAGAGTGCATGGTGACATTCCACATCCTCACTGCTACCCTGGAAAGTGCTGTTGGATTTTTTTGGTGGTGATTTTGTTTTTTTAAGAGACAGAACCTCACTCTGTTGCCCAGGCTGGGGCGCAGTGGTGCAGTCTTGGCTCACTGCAACCTCTGCCTCCTGGGTTTCAAGCAATTCTTCTGCCTCAGCCTGCCAAGTAGTTTGGACTACAGATGTGTGCCACCACACCTAGCTAATTTTTTTTTTTTTTTAAAGTAGAGACAGGGTTTTGCCATGTTGGCCAGGCTGGACTTCAACTTCTGACCTCAGTTGATCCGCCCCTCGGCCTTCCAAAGTGCTGGGATTATAGGCATGCCAGAAATGCTGTTTTTATTTCACAGTGAAAATACAAGTATACAGAAAACTTGCTCTCTATTTCTGTTCCTCATGGTTGAATTGGATAAGGTAATTTAATTGCTTCCCATGTGAGATTCTCATCTCTTTCCTTGGAATAGAGGCTCATTGAAAATGGAGAGACATTCTACTTTTCTGTTGCCTACAGTGTCTAGGATGGCACCTGGCATATGGAAGGTAAATGGACTTATGTTACTGTGATACTGAACATAGTGGTACTCAGAGAATATGTGTTCTCCTGATACCTTCATGATGGACCTGTTGTGTAGAAGAGGGCATTGCCTTGCCCCTTGCTGTCACGGGGGTCTTGGGCACATGGCTGAGCTTCTTCATTGATGAAGTCCCAGTGTAGCACCTTTTTAGGCAGCCAGAGATTAGGGGACGTGATCAGAAGGGAGGTGACAGGAGCTGGAGACAATTTGGGTGAGGGAAATGTTGAGAAGCATCTGGAGAGAGAGTTAAATGGTAAGGAGGATGTAGACTCTTCCATACGAATGAATGAAAAGCAGTGTGGGCTTGGAGTCTGAAAAGATGCCATCCATGTTGGAGCCTTATGGGACGTGGCGGGAAGATGAGGGAGTGTCGGGTCACCTGAGTCCACTCCGGAAAACAGGTTATTGATGCTGTGACTGGGTACTGGGCCAGGACCTATTGCTGTCAAGACCAAGTCTTGTGAACTCTCTGGTTACCTCGTGAGTGCCTGGTACAAATCTTTTGTCAGGCAAATATTTTGTTTATAAAAATTTTGTAAGCTAGCTAATAAAGTCTCTTATCATTTTCACAAGTAAATTTGTGGGTTAGGGTTAGGGTTAGTTAGTTTGAGGCTGGAGAGTGATCTGGGTTCATCAGGAGCAGAAACACTGTTCCTGGAATCCATAGTTCAAGTAGTGAACGTTGGCGTTAGAGGGTATCTGGATCCCCGAGCCACAAGTGGTGGTCCCTGCCAACAGGATCATTGGAGCAGGCTTAAGGCTGGTGGGGTGTTTTCTTTTTGGGGATCTCATATTTGTAGGCACCTGCCTGGCTGTTGCTGAGAGACCTTTATTGCTAATTTAACTTAGTTTTTGGAAGTGGTTTGTGCTCTGAGTGACTTGGAGCTGAACTCATCTGATAACTCTTCCATAATTAGGAACCTGGAATTGCCTGAGGGAACATGGTTTGATTTCTTATTAGATGCAATCAGTGAAGAAAAACAGGGAAGAATTAGATAATAGGTTTGAGAAAATTGAGTTTGTATGAAAAATTTTAATTTGTAAATAGGGATTAGTTTACAGGTAGTACAGTGATAGGCCTATTATTAAAAAATCAAATTTGCATTGAAAGGTCTTTGTTTTCTTTAAAACTGTGGAAAAGGGGCTTCTTTTTTCTAAATTTTCACATTGCACAATTACTAAAATGTAAATTGTTACATATTCGTTGACTTATAGGTTTATGGTAGCTTATGTTTATATAGCCCATTTAAAATACAGTTAAATCACACAGGCATATTCACTTTGAAATAATTCATTGAACTGTACTTTATGATTTATTACACTTTTCTATATGTAAGCTCTTCAGTACAATTTCATTACAATATAAGTTGATATATAAGATACAGTGACTGAATTACTTATGACAACATGGCATATCTTAATTTTGTACTTAGAAAAACACATGTAACATAAAGCAAGTATAAAGGTATGTATTGGCAAATAAAATACTTTTTGGTTGGCCGGGCACGGTGGCTCAAGCCTGTAATCCCAGCACTTTGGGAGGCCGAGGCGGGTGGATCACGAGGTCAAGAGATTGAGACCATCCTGGTCAACATGGTGAAACCCCGTCTCCACTAAAAATACAAAAAAAAAAATTAGCTGGGCATGGTGGCGCGTGCCTGTAATCCCAGCTACTCAGGAGGCTGAGGCAGGAGAATTGCCTGAACCCAGGAGGCGGAGATTGCGGTGAGCCGAGATCGCGCCATTGCACTCCAGCCTGGGTAACATGAGTGAAACTCCGTCTCAAAAAAAAAAAAAAAAAAAAAAAAAAAAAAAAAAAAAAAAAAACTTTTTGGTTTAGTAAGTAAAATATTTTAATAAGCCGTACCTTATTCATAGATATAAACATCAGAACACCAGACAGTTAAATCTTTCTTCTATCTTCTTTTCTTCTCTTTTTATTTTTTTTTTCTTTTCTGTCCCCTTTTCATTGTTTCATAAAGCCATTGGTGGGAGAGACCAGAAAGATAGTTTTTGATTTTTTTTCTTCAAGTTGTGAAATTACGAAATTAATGTAAATTGAAAGATTTGTTGAATGGACGTAGTTTTCTTTTAGTCAAAAAGTGTTTAAGCCTGGGCACAGTAGCCTGTACCTGTAATCCTAGCGCTCTGGGAGGCCCAGATGGGAGGATTGTTTGAGCCCAGGAGGTCGAGGCTAGCACAGGCAACATAGTGAGACCCCTGTCTCTACAAAAAATTTTAAAAATCAGCCAGGCATGGTGGCGTGTGCCTATAATCCTGGCTAGGCCAGAGGATCGCTTGAGGCTGCAGTGATTGTGCCATGTTACCCCAGCCTGACAGAGAGAGAGTGTGACAGAGAGAGTCTGTCTCTAAATTAAAAAAAAAAAAAAAAGTCTTGTACCTTATTGCTTTCTCCAGATTTTTTTAGATAAACAGAATGGTGGTTCCAGTTAAGACTGTTAAACAAATCCTGATCCCATTTTTCAGTAGTCAAGAATGTGCTGAAATATTATAAAAGTTTGGGAAGACACGGAGCTGGAGGAATAGGAATTATAACTGACTATTTAGAATTGTAAGAGGTTTATGGGTGGCGGAAGGTAAAGGTGTCCTAAGGACATAAATGAACCTAGAAATAGAATGTGGGGGTCTGAGGAGGGACTGTGTGGCCTCCCTGCTCAGAACTGAAGGGTTTGGGAGAAGATCGGCTTGTGAGAATGGAGTTCTGCTGCTTTAATGAGCTGCATGCCTCCAGGCATGCTCCTTCCCCTCACCCCCATTGCTCCTCACCCAGAGGGGGGCTCACATAACTCCCCCAGCCCCATGAAGACTCGTTTTGAAGAGCATATGGCACAATGCTCATAACACGTCTGTCACAGTACACTGCACTTGGTGTGGGCCTAGTAAGTAATGAACTGTGAGTAACAGTCAAGAACAGGGACTCTGCGTCTCTGCTCTGCCTGACAGGCTGACTGCCCTGTGCTTGTTTGCTTATCTGTAAAATGGGGATATAACAGTACCCACCTCATCAGTCATTCTGAGGCTGAAATGGGTCCATATATGTAAAGTGTTTAGTTCAGGGTATCATTGACAGAGAATGGAGAAACAGCCAATTATATTCCTCTAGATGTTACCTTTGCGTGTTGATTTCACATATGGAATTCTTGGATGATGTGTCAGTTTTTCATGTAAGTCATACAAACAGTGTTTTTAGTGAGGTATTCGTATATTAGAATCCGTTACATATTTTCATTTCCTGAGGCTAGTTGACAGCAAGATGACATTAGTTCTTAGGTATTACCTGCATATTTATTTTTTTGGTTGTATATTCTTAAACATTTGACAGCTTCATTTGCTCAAATATACCTACTAAATTTTCATTCCAGAAGGAGGAATGTCACTTGTAATATACATTGCCAAATGTTTGCTTAAACTTGAGCCCTTACTAAATACAGTATCTGATGTTTATGCATTTGAAAAAGTTGTTTATATTTAATAAAAACAGTCAACAATTAGGAAAAGTTCTTACAAGAAAAATAAGCTAGTTGGTACTCTTCCAGTTCTAGGGATTCTGTCTAAAGTCCTGATACGTATGAGTTTTGACAATAGAGAAAGACAGTTATGCAGACAAACATATGTTCCAAAATAAGTGCTTTTTGTTTAGGTTGGGAATCCACGTGTTGAACTTACCCTCTCAGAGCTCCAAGATATGGCAGCTAGGCAACAGCAGCAGATTGAAAATCAGCAGCAGATGTTGGTTGCCAAGGTAAGTTATAAAAAGAGGTATTGAAATACTGTTCAAAAAGTACCTCTTTAACCGTCATTTTAGACTGGGGTGAATACATCCTTGGGTAATGCTTATAAAATAAGACCATGCCATGGGAGTGCTAAACATAATGTCTTTCTCTCTTTGTTATCACTTCCATAATAACATATGCAGATTGTTGTTCGTGCAAGTTGGGAAGTTATCAGAACAAGAGCATCTCATCCTTGACACACACAGCAGACACCCCAATCTGGAAACTGATGACCTTATTAAAATCAGATAAAATTTGGAAAGGGGCCAGGCACAGTGGCTCATGCCTATAATCCCAGCACTCTGGGAGGCTAAGGCAGGAGGATCACTTAAGCCCAGGAGTTCAAGACCAGCCTGGGCAACATAGTGACTCTGCCTACAAAAAATAAAAAAAATTAGCTGGGCATGGTGGCATGTGCCTCTGGTCCCAGCTATATGGGTGGCCAAGGCAGAAGGATCACTTGAGCCCAGGAGTTGGTTGCAGTGAGCTGAGATCACGCCACTGCACTCCCACTTGGACAACAGAGTAAGTGATACCTTGTATTTAGAAGAAAAAAAAAAAATGGGAAGAAAGGGTGCTTTTGTTATCTCCTTGTGCCTCTGGGTGTGTTCTTGGCTATGTCGTTAGTATTAGTGTTCAAGAAGAAAGCAGTGATCGGTGCTGAAAACACTGATGGGGGCGGGGGTCCGGAAGACGGTGACAGCTAGTTAACAGGGCTTCCCAGTGTGCTGCTCTAGGCTGGGCTTGTTTGGTTTATTACAGTGTGGGGCATAGTTAATGCTCATTATATACACTGAATTCTACATTGGTTATTGAAACTCAAATTTTTCTAAATAGTGGTTTAGTCATACTTAATTGAAGCATCAGATCTATCACACATGCCTCCTGAAAATGATTCTTGTTGTAAATGATCTTAAAATATTCCAAAACTGCTTTAAAGATAAACTTTATTACCAGCTAGGTTCTTTTTGTTTTTTTCTGCAGAGAGATCTTCTTAGTGACTAAATATCCAGTCTAATTTTTTAAAAATTTATTGAATGTATACTTCATTGTAGTATCCACTTTTATGTAAATAATAATTTGGGTTGGACTTGTTTTAAAAAGTTGTCTCAATGTTTATTGGATTTATGTGAATAAAAATGATGAAAAGTTAAGTTTAATTGGAAAGTACTTTATCCCATTAATAAGATTTCTAAGATAAAACATACATAGTATTATGTCATTGTAAACATTTTCTAATTCTGCTTACTATTTTTACCAAATATTGATCCGAGTATTGCTGTTAAAAAATGTTGTAGATATTTTCAGCAGTATAAATCACAAGTTAATACTACATCTAAGTACATATTGCCTTACCTTAGAGTGTAGTGTGTAGTGCCTTCATAACCACACCTTAAACCTCTCCTTATTCAGGTATATTTTATGCATACATATGAGACCATGAATATTTAATGTGTACTCTTATCTTTAAGGTATGTTTTCACATTAATAGGGGAAAAACACCTATTGGAGAGTATTGTATATATTGTTATTTTTGGATTGTTCTGTTACTGTTTGAGTCTAAAATGTTTCATTATTGAAGAAACTAATCCTGGAGAAAGCAGACACTTCCTTGATTGTTCTGTATCGTAGCAAATTGAAGATTTATCTCCTTACTGATCACCTTATTTCTTTACAGTGTAAAATCCTCTGCTGCTTAATGCTCATTTCCTTTAGGAAGTGAAATAAGAGATTCTTGGAAGCCACTTTGTAGCAGCAGAAAATGTATTACGGGCAGCAGGAAAGTAAGGCTCGCTGGGACTTCACAGATGTGATAGCGTGAAGAGGAGATTGTGTTAGTGCATGTTCTCCAAAGAAGCGCTTATATTAACTGAACGGTGTAGATCAGTGTGCATAATAAAACCCCCTCTCTTAAAAATGCCCCAACTCTTACCACTTCATATTTAGTATGCCCAATAATTTCAGCTTTGTGTGGTCTGATTTAAGATTCTGTTAGTGTTTTAGTATTCATTAATATGAGTGATACTGAATACACTCATATTTTTATACTGAATACACTCATATTCATTAATATGAGTGATATAGAATATACTCATATTTTTCTTTTTGAGTATATAAAAGTAACCATAAGCTTCTATTTTCTTTTTTTTTTTGAGACAGAGTCTCACTGTGTCACGCAGGCTGGAGTGCAGTGGTGCAGTCTCGGCTCACTGCAACCTCTGCCTCCCAGGTTCAAGTGATTCTCCTGCCGCAGCCTCCCAAGTAGCGGGGATTTCAGGCGCACACCACCACACCCGGTTACTTTCTGTATTTTTAGTAGAGACAGTTTCACCATGCTGGCCAGGCTGGTCTCGAACTCCTGACCCCAGGTGATCCACCTGCCTCAGCCTCCCAAAGTGCTGCTATTACAGGCATGAGCCACCATGCCCGGCCTTCAATTTTCAAAGTTACATTTTTCCTTCTTTTGTTAGGAACAGCGTTTACATTTTCTAAAGCAACAGGAGCGCCGTCAGCAGCAGTCTATTTCTGAAAATGAAAAGCTTCAGAAATTGAAAGAACGAGTTGAAGCCCAGGAGAACAAGCTGAAGAAAATTCGTGCCATGAGAGGACAAGTTGACTACAGCAAAATCATGAACGGCAATCTGTGTACGTGCCTGCAACACTCCCTCTACACCACTGTCACCAGGCCCAGATCCAGTGAAACAGTCACAAATTCACAGGACTAAATAGCAAGTGTGCTAAAGTTTTGCTCTGTTATTTGCATCTGAAAGGATGGGGTAGTTAGGTTAAGTGATCTTAAAAGCCTGTAGTCCCAGCTACTTCAGAGGCCAAGGTGGGAGGATTGCTTGAGCCTGGGAGGTGAAAGCTGCAGTAAACCATGATCCAGCCACTGCTTCCCCAGCCTTGATGACAGAGTGAGACCCTGTCTCAAAAAAATAAAAAGATCTCAGTGGCCCTCAGATGCAGTATAATGATCCTCTTGTTACACTGGTCAGCAGTCCTTTTGGATTAGGGTCGGGCACTCCAAGACACTCATTCAGAGGTCCTGTTTTTCTTGAGTAACTTAACTTGTATCCATGCATTAAGATAAGTTACACTCATGCTCACTTTTTTTCTGTATGCACTCTGATTTTATCCATTGGTTCACTCTTTGCCTACTTTAAGTCACAGCGATGCGGGAGAGACTTGGATGGCCCTGCCTTCACAAGACCTTTGGTCTCAGAGATTCCTAAGTCGTTTGACCAAACCAGCTTATGGACTGATTACCCTAAAGAATAGTCAGGAATTCATGCAAATATAATTGTTTGCTTTATGAGTAATCAGATACATGTGTCCCAAAGACTTTTTGAATTGTGTTTTGGATTCTGCATATCACAACTTTTTCCAAGGTCTGGCACTAGATGATAACAGAATTAAGTGTATAGGAATGGGGCGGGAAGGGGTGGGGGAAGATCAACTAAATGTTTTATTTTTTTTTCTTTCTTTTTTTTTTTTGTGGGCACTTATAGCTGCTGAAATAGAAAGGTTCAGTGCCATGTTCCAGGAAAAGAAGCAGGAAGTACAGACTGCAATTTTAAGGGTTGATCAGCTTAGTCAGCAATTGGAAGATTTAAAGAAAGGAAAACTGAATGGGTTCCAGTCTTACAATGGCAAATTGACAGGACCAGCAGCAGTGGAGTTAAAAAGACTGTACCAAGAACTACAGGTAACTCCTGGGTCTGGGAATGATTGTATGAAAACATTGTCATCTCTCTAGCTTTGTTAGCATGGGTTGGAAACCTTAGGAAATGGAACAAATTAATGAATTCTAATTTAATAGTAGGCACAAGATATATTCAGTATAAAATAATTTTAAAATGACTTGACATATAATTCATACAACATAATCATCCATTTAAAGTATACAATTCCATGGCTTTAGTACCTTGACAGGGTTGTCAGAGTTACATCCACCACCACAACTCGTTTTGGAACATTTTTATCACCCAGAAAGAAGGCCCACACCTCTTAGCCATCACTCCACAACCTCCATACCCTTCAGAGCCTGGGAGCCACAAATCTACTTTCTGTGTCTGTAGATTGCCTATTCTGGGCGTTTCATATGAGTGGAATCACACAGTAGAGATTGAGCATCCTTAATCCTAAAATGTAAAATGCTTCAAATCTGAAACTCTCTGAGCTCCAATGTGACACACAAAGGAAATACATGCTCATTGGAGCATTTGGATTTTGGATTTCCAGATTAGGAAGGATGCTAAACAAGTAAATATAACGTAAATATTTAAAAATCTGGATGAATCTAAAGTCTGAAATGCTTCTGGGTCCCAAGCATTTTGGTTAAGGGATATTAACCAAAACACACCCTGTATGCAGTCCTTTGTGACTGGCTTCTTTCACTTAGGATGTTTTCAGCACAAAAGAATTTAATTAGCAGATAATAATCCAATAAAGAATTAAACTTTAGATGATATTTAAGGTCTTTGTGTAAACTGTTTTGATGAGCTACATGCTTGTTGTTGAATCCTTATCTTAGTTCAGACTGCTATAACAAAATATCATAGGCTGGATGGCTCACACAATGGACATTTATTTCTCACTGTTCTGGAGGCTGGAAGTTCAAGGCCAAGGTGCTGGCAGATTCACTTCCCAGTGAGTGTTCCCTCCCTGGCTTGCAGACAGCGACCTTCGCACTGTGTCCCCACATAGTGGAGAGAGAGTTTAGTTTCTCTGCATTAACTCCAGCATGGGGGGCCCCATCCTCGTGACCTTGCGTAAACTTGACTACCTCCTAAAGACCCTGCCTGCAGACATCACCACATTAGGGCTAGGGCTTCAACATATACATTTTGGGGGACCCATTCAGTCCATAACAGAACTCAAGATTTTCATTTCTCAGAAGTTATCATTCAGCAGGCGATTTTTCAAGCCAGACGTAGGTCTTGCCGCTTTATTAGCACATGCTAGAAAAAGTATTATATCATTTTATGAAATGAGAGTATTTAACTACATAGAGTAAAATCACTGTGGTTGCTGTTAAGTTCTTTAACATAAATGCATAGAAGTACTATAGTATTATAGGATTTTATGACTTTTACATTTCAAGCAATCGTTAAAAGTGCAGGGTTTTTAAGGATTTTTTGATGAAATGTGATGAGTGGAATATAGGGATGTCATTTATTTCCAGCTTTTTGGACTGCAGTATAGTTTTTTGTTTGTTTGTTTTGTTTTGTTTTTGAGATGGAGTCTGGCTCTGTCGCCCAGGCTGGATACAGTGGGGCGATCTCAGCTTACTGCAACCTCCACCTCCTGAGTTTCAAGTGATTCTCCTGCCTCAGGAGAATCAGACACATGGAAGGTGTATATGCACTAGTGCTGTGGGCATCTGAAAGTTTTAAGACAGCTCTTCTTGTGGGAAGTGCACTCTGATATTTTCTGTTTTGTCCTAGTTCATTTCTTAAAAATGCTGGTTGCAAGCCACTAAAATGACGTAAGGTTGCTTTACTTGGTGATTCAGGCCATCCTTTTTGGTCCTCACTGAACTTCTTGCTGCCTCCACAGTAAGGCACGTCATGCGGTGGGCTCAGGCCTGAAGCAGCTCCATGAAGTGGAACAGAGCATCCTTTAGTTTCTGAGAGTCCCAAATATGGCACTTAGTCTCCTGTCATCATTGAGACTAGTCATTTCACGTGCTTTGAAGAAGGTGCATTACAGATGTTTACTCTTTGTTTGTTCCATGAGAACTCTGTCCTGGCTTCATCTTGGCTGTACCTGTAAAATATTTCACACAAAGTGGCAGTGGATGCAAGTAAATATCAGAACTTAATGTTACTTTTTTCTTTTTAATCTCACTGGCAATGAGAATTTGATTTTTAATTAATACAGATCATAAAAGTTGTATTTTGTGGTTTGTAGATTCGTAACCAGCTTAACCAGGAACAAAATTCAAAACTTCAGCAGCAGAAGGAACTCTTAAATAAGCGCAACATGGAGGTGGCCATGATGGACAAGCGAATCAGTGAACTGCGTGAACGTCTCTATGGGAAAAAAATTCAGGCATGTGAAAAAGAATGTTTTTGAGAGATAAACTACTACACATCTCTAAGTGGCATTATGCTCCCCCATCCACCATAGCTGATAACACATAAATAGGCCATAAACCATCAAAAACCACAGAACAAATTTTCTTCTGCCAATGACTCATTTGTTTCCTAGTATGTGGAGGCAAAGCCACCCCCAGCCTACAGCCTTGTGCTCTGTGTCCTAGCCTGCCTTCTTCCCCGTCTGTTTCTTCTCTTCTTCACTGGGGGATGCTGTTGGCTCTGGAGTCACGGCATCTGGCACGGTCCTCACTATGCCATTTTAAGCTGTGTCATTTTGAGCAGATTCCTTGCCTTGCGTAGCCTCATGTCCTGCTGTAAAGTGATTTGCCCTACCTGCCCCATGAGGAGCTGTGAGGATTCTTATAAATAAGCCATGTGGAAGGATTTTGTAGACTCTTGAGCAAAATGCCATATAAGGGGTTATACTTCTAAAAAATCTTTATTTGATACTGAATTTCAAAGGTAATAAAATACTCATTGAATAATTACTCATTAAAAAAAAATGAGTATTTATTACCTTTGAGATTCACTATCAAAGATTTTGGACTTGCCAGCATCTACAATCACATGAGTCAATTCCTTAAGATAAATCTCTTAAGTACAGAAATATTGAAGGGAAAATGTGAAAGTCCTTTCCAGCCAGTTCTCTACAGGTGATAGTTGTTAATGGTTTCAGTCTTTTGCTTAATAAACACACAAAGATACAGAACTTTAATTGAAAATGGGATTGCAGGAATTACGCTGGTCACACTGTCTCATCTAGTCTTTTTTTAATTGCAACATGGGTGTCTTTCCAGGTCATTACCTCATTCTTGTTGTACCATCTGAAAGCTATCCTGTGGTCTCAGAGCCTGTAACCCCTTTACCAGCCTCTGTAGTCAGACAGGGAGTCCCGAGTCTTGCTGTCACTCACAGTGCATTGGTGAGCATGTGTACCACCGAGCCACCTGCATAGAGGAGGGGTGTCTGCACTCTGTGTCTTTGGCCGGATGTGGCATTTTCTTTTCTCACACCTGTGACACTCAGTGATTAGGCTTGAATGCAAAGCTGAGTACACTCTGCCCTCGTGGTAGGAGAGTGGAGCAGGTGACCTGCCAGCAAAGACGCCCTTCCCACAGCTCCCTTCTGCATATTGAGTGACTGATGCTCTCATGCTTTGGTGACAGAAGAGTGTCCTCTTGTCAGCCTCTTCTGCTCTGATAGATGCTTCAAGGAGGCAGCATGGACCTGAGGGGCTTTGCCCAGGGGAAGTGGGTTTGGAGGGTGGTGGACGAAGAAGGGAGCTTGCAGTTCTGTGGGTGTCACAGTCTCTTATTTACAAATCTGCCCTTTGTTTAAAAAAAAAAAACAAGAACAACAAAACAGTGAGTTTAAAGATCAGTAGTTTATTTGTACAACTTTATGATTTCAGATGTTGGTTATCCTTTTTCTCTCAGGATTAACAACAAAGAGGCCAAGTGAGAAAGAAGCTGCAAGCACCTTCTCTGTGCTTACGTGTGTTCTTCAGTAGTGCCATAGTAGTCAGGGCTCCCCACAGAAAGAGAACCAATAGTGTGCGTGCGTGTGTGTGTGCGTGTGCGTGTATGCGCGTGTGTGTGTGTGTGTGTGTAGGGGGAGAGAGAGAGAGGAAGAGAGATTTACCTTAAGGAATTGGCTCACGTGATTGTGGATGTTGGCAAGCCCAAAATCTGCGAGGCCGGCCGGCAGCCTGGAGGTCCAGGGGAGAGTCTGGAGCCCGAAGGCCGTCTCTAGGCAGGATCCCACTTTCTCAGGGAGTCTGTCTTGTTCTCTTAGGGCATTCCACTGATTGGATGGGGCCCACCCACCTTATAGAGGGTCATCTGCTTTACTCAGATCTACCATTTTATAAGTTAATCTCATCCAGATTGGAGACCATGATTCTAAGTGAAGTAACTCAGGAATGGAAAACCACACATTGTATGTCCTGACTCGTAAGTGGGAGCTAAGCTATGAGGATGCAAAGGCATAAAAATGACACCGTGGGCTTTGGGGACTCAGACGGAAAGGGTGGGAAGGGGGTGAAGGATAAAAGACTACAAATTGGGTGCAGTGTATACTGCTCAGATGATGGGTGCACCAAGCCTCACAAATCACTAAAGAACCTACTTATGTAACCAAATGCCACCTGTTCCCTGGTAACCTATGGAAATTAAAAAAAAAAAAAAAGATTAATCTCATCCAGAAAACACCTTTTCAGCAACATCTAATTGGGTGTTTGACTAAATAACCAGTTACTATGGCCTAGCCAAGTAGCTAGATTCATTCCACCTACACTTCAGGGGATCACCTTGAAGTTAGTACTTCTGCAGAGATGCGTCTCCACCCGAAGGTCCTAGGTACCCTTGAGCAATTGTGAAAGCCGTGACCCCTCACCCCAAAATGACCTATGCTCATGTATACAGAATCTCACAGGGGGTCCCGTTCAGAGCCTGTTTTGGGATCTTGAGGAGTCAGTAGTTCTCTAGTTGGAACCCCTGCTCCAAGCCCCTTTGTTCTTGAGCAGCATTATGTGAACAGCGTCCTCTGTCCTGGCTGAGAAGGGCAGAGCTGCCTTCAGGGAACTGGACTCACTGTTAGGAGTCAGAGCCTTGTCTGGTCACCGTGCCCCATGCAGCTTGGACAGTACTGAGTACAGCCCGTATCATGACTTTACAGATGTGGGCACAGAGGCTGAGGCACCTGCCTAAAGCCACACAGTGAATAAGTGACAGAGGGGATTTGAAGCCAGGCTCAGAGCCCAGAATTTGACGAGTGCCTCTGTGCCCACCACGGGAGTAAGAAGGAAGCTACATGTGGGTCACGGGGAAGTTGCTCTGGGCTCACACCAGTTCCTCATGTGTGCGGCTCTGGAGTGGTGGGTGTTGTCAGAGAATTGCTCGTAGGAAGCTACAGTTCCTTCACCAGAGTCTCCCTTTCCAGTTGCTGATCTTTCCAGATGACAGCCTTCCTAAATACAAACCACCGAGTCAGTGGTTTCTGTCCAAGCTGGGAGTCACTTGCAGTAGGCTTGGGATCTCTTAATTTAGGAGAACCTTGACTCTCATTTCTTCCCAATTTGTAGCTGAACCGTGTGAATGGCACGTCATCACCACAGTCACCTCTGAGCACATCTGGCAGGGTCGCTGCTGTGGGGCCTTACATCCAGGTTCCCAGTGCTGGAAGCTTTCCTGTCCTGGGGGACCCCATAAAGCCCCAGTCTCTCAGTATTGCCTCAAATGCTGTTCATGGAAGATCCAAATCCGGTGAGTGGTCCTGGCCCTCTTCCTTGGGGAGAGTTTGTGAGCAGGGAATGGGGCCTGCAGTAGAGGGGGGTGGTGGGGGTGGGGGCAGGCTCCTGGGGCTCTGTCCCACGCATCGTCAGACTCCAGGCTCAGTCTCCCCTTGAGGCACTTGGGGAGCTGTGTCCCCCCGTGGTGATGACCCTAAAAAGAGAACAAGTTCTTTTTATTGAACTGGAGGTCTCTACTGTGTGGCTTTTTAAAACACAAATGATTGATTAATACTCTGATCCATGGGCCGGGCCTGGTGGCTCACGCCTGTACTCCCAGCACTTTGGGAGGCTCAGGTGGGTGGATCACCTGAGGTCAGGAGTTCAAGACCAGCCTGACCAACATGGTGAAACCCCGTCTCTACCAAAAATACAAAAATTAGCCAGGCCCCCTGTAGTCCCAGCTATTCAGGAGGCTGAGGCAGGAGAATCGCTTGAACCCAGGAGGCAGAGCTTGCAGTGAGCCAAGATCATGCCATTATGCTCCAGCCTAGGCAACGAGAACGAAACTCCATCTCAAAAAAAAAAAAAAAAATCTGACCCGCAAGTGTTCTTTCCTACTGCAAGTTTATTCCCCTGAGGGCTGGCATGGGTGCCTCACCACAACTCAGCTGCAGCCAAATGGACAGAGGGGCTGCCCCTGCAAACAGATCTCTGTCCTCATTGGTCAGAGTCCACACGTCCTTGCTTTGGTCTTAACCCCACAATGGTGCTGTGTGATGGACTTGGGCCCCAGCACCGTGCTCCAGTGTAGCCTGTGCGTGGTGTCCTGTCCCTGCCAAGCAGAGGGCAAGCTGTTCGTGGAGAGTCTTGTTCTCAACCAATGCATTAAAAGTGGGGCTTCCTTGTAATAAGACTTACTTTATGATTGGGGTTGACACATTTCCCCATAACACACAGCATCAGGAATCCCTGTCCTGACATACTGAAACATTCCTTCCTTTTCGAAAACAATACTGTTACTCTCTGGCCATCAGGCCTGTGTTTCAAGCCCTTTTTTCAGGATTGGTGGTAGATTTGTGCTTGTCTTTGCTTCATTTTCTCTTTCCTGGCCCCCAGTAGGGACAGCAACACATCTGTTGCCCCCACTGGGGAGACTGGGCTTGTTCTGAACTCGGTAGAGGAGGGCATCACCAGCCCTTGTGAGCCACAAGCCCCTGCTCAGATCCCTTACAGCCATGTCTCAGCAGCCACGTAAAGTGTGGGGTTGACATGAACCCCTAACTACAGCTTGCTCTGCTGAGCTGTTCTTTATAGTTTGAACTACCCTGTGGTAGGAGTAGATATTGGTTTCCAGTGGGAGGTAATTAGCACAATCAGCCACTTCTCTGCTGACTTCCTTTGAGAAACTCCCCAAGCTGAGAATGTCTGCTGTTTCCCATCCCTGCTGGCGTCTGCTGTGCAGCCTCAAGGGGTTGCAGGAAGGAGATGCCTTCACAAAGCCCTGGTTCTGGTCTCTGCTGTGGTTTAAAGTGTCTGGACACAGGAAACCGGTATTCGCCTTCAGAGTGCCGGGGCAGAAGCCCAGCCACAGGTGGAGCTGGTTGTGAAACCTCCTGGCAGGGACTCTAATCCCTCGCTGTTGGCTGTCCTGGTTCTGTGTCACACAGATGGCCACAGTAAACCCAGAGTGACCAGCTCATGGACAGTGTCAGACCTCGACGTCGGGCCTGACTGCAGCTCCTCGAGACCCTCTACAAGCCCATTTGTAAACCGTATGTTGGCTAACAAGCTTATTGGGAAGCTGTGTCCTCTTTAATATGTACAAAATCAGCTATCACTTGTTTTTCCAAACTGACAAAGGTCTGCTTATCACATCTAGACTTGAAAAAGATGCCACACAAACATAATTTGTCCCTTTCTTCAGTAGACAGGTGTGGAGTTTGGGTGTGGCCACACCCACCCTCCCATCCTCAGAAAGGGTATGATACCAAGGGACAGATGCTGGCATAGCACGGGTTTTGTTTTGGAAGATATTTTGTTTGTTTTTACAAAATTAAGATGATTTTCTGAGTTCATTATGAGGCTTTTAGTTTTAAAATCATACTAGAAGATAACTGTGTCTCTACAATAAAAGCACGTGATCTTCTATACCTCCTGCCTTGTTCTGAAGAAAGGAGAAAATTGTATTTTAGTCCTCACTATGGCTGATTTCTATAAAACTTCTTGTTGCTGGGTGGTTTCAGAAGCAGGTGGACAGCCACATTCCCTGTGACTCTGAGAGCACAGGCCCTGTCCTTGGGGAGCCTGCAGGTTTCTGGCCCACACATCCTCCAGGTCTAACATGTGACCAGGAGGGGATGAAAGCACACATGTTCCAGGCCCCATGCAGCAAGATGGCTGTTGGTCCAGGGGCCTTGGAATGCCTGGCTGGGACCCGTGGGGCTTGACCAGAGCTGTCTCAGAAGCCGCTGCCTGGAGCCTGCAGTGTAGTTTAGCAACGTCATAATTTAGCAGCCCAGCAGTATATGCAGCTGGGGTTGCAGTGCTGCTGCATCAGGTCAGTTTGGCTTAGGGGCAAATCATGTGCGGCTGTGGCTGATGGGCCCTCAGAGCGCAGTTGGGAAGCTTCCTTGTCATGTTCGATGAGTCCAGAGCGCTGGCTCCAGCGTTGCTGTGAGGACTATTTCCCTGCTGCTTTGTTATCCCCTCCTGCCTGTCCTGGCAGATGTATGATAAGGGGAAGGGGATGTGCTGTCTTTGCCAGGAGGGCCCAGAACAGTCCCTCTGCTTTCCGTCTGTCCCATGTTGCTGATGGCACTGGAAGCGTTGAACGCTTTAGTTCAGTTCAGCACCTGTGCCTGCAAAAGAAAACCAGGAGCCTGTGTTGTGATGGGCTTTAAGCCACTGTGAGGGGTCCTATGTTATTCTGCACCCTTTTTCAGTTTGGAAAATATCTGTAAAGGACATATCATTTCAGTGGCTTTCCTAAAACTTGGGGCTGATAACTGGCTTTCTAATCACTGCAACAGAATGATAGTCTGCTCCTCCTGCTACACAAATCAGTGGGAACTTGCACGGGCCTCCTGTGATCATAAGTTACCTTAGAGGGCGGAAATTTTTATCTTAATAATGAAAGTACTACAGGTCAAACCTGTTATGAAGTCAGAAGGTAAATCTTTTTTATTGCTCTGTGTAATTGTGTTTCTACACAGTGTGTCAGGAGTAAGGGCCAGTGCTTATTTTACTTGGTGGTGCTGAGGTCACGGATTTGACCTGTGTTGAAGTGGGGCGCACCCATGGGCCCGCACAGTGGAGCCTTGGTTTGGCCATGAGTCTCTAGTAACACTTGAAGCAATTTGGGCACTGGCAGCAGAGCCCGTCCCCTGGTCTTGTGCACGGGTCTGTGGGCGCTGCAGGAGATGAGCAGTATGTGTGTGGCTGGTGGTCAGCCACATGGTTAACGGATCTGCATCAGAATGGGATGTCCCAGTGCTACGTTGTTTCTGGCAAGGTGTTATTCTTAGATTGGTTCAACTAACGTCAAGAAAAATTTTATTCAAGTTCTGTGTTCTTTTCAAGCTAATGATGGAAACTGGCCAACATTAAAACAGAATTCTAGCTCTTCAGTGAAACCAGTGCAGGTGGCCAGCACAGACTGGAAGGACACGAGCGTGGAGGGGTCTGTCAAGCAGGGCACCGTCTCCAGCCAGCCTGTGCCCTTCTCAGCACTGGGAGCCACGGAGAAGCCGGTAGGCCTGTGTCTTTATCACAAAACATAAGCAAGCTCCTCAACAGGGCACTTTTCTGCCTCAGTACTAAGCTAAAGAGCTGAGATGCCAGGAGGCAAGTTAATCCTGTTAGTGCCCAAATGACACCCGAAGTCCTGAAAGGGTCACTGGGCCCGAAGCGCCTGGGCAGCCACAAGTGCATGCACCTTTTGGTCAGGACTTTTGCGTCGCTTTTGCAGACAGGCGATGAGCTCAACGGTGTGCCCATGTCTTGGTCACAGCCGATTTGACCATGACAAATCCTTCTGTGTATTCTCTCGGGAATGTGGGTGGCAATATGCCTAACTGTTCAAAGGGTGACTTTGTTTTTCTTCACCTAAATTTAGGGCATCGAGCTTGGTAAAGGGCCACCTCCCATCCCAGGTGTAGGCAAGCAGCCGCCTCCAAGCTATGGGACATATCCCAGTCCTACGCCTCTGGGTCCCGGGTCGACAAGCTCCCTGGAAAGGAGGAAGGAAGGCAGCTTGCCCAGGCCCAGCGCAGGCCTGCCAAGTCGACAGAGGCCAACCCTGCTGCCCTCCACAGGCAGCGCCCCCCAGCCGGGCTCCTCACAACAGATTCAGCAGAGGATTTCCGTACCACCAAGCCCCACGTACCCACCCGTGGGACCACCTGCATTTCCAGCTGGGGACAGCAAGCCTGAACTCCCACTGACAGTGGCCATTAGGCCCTTCCTGGCCGATAAAGGGTCAAGGCCACAGTCTCCCAGGAAAGGCCCCCAGACAGTGAATTCAAGTTCCATATACTCCATGTACCTCCAGCAAGCCACGCCACCTAAGAATTACCAGCCGGCAGCACACAGCGCCTTAAATAAGTCAGTGAAAGCAGGTAGAGTGGGCTTATACTCTCCTTTTTGGGGGCTAGGAAATTATACTTTTAATTAAGAAAATACTAATCCATAATCCTTACACTTGGGCCACGTGCTATTTAGAATTAAACTTAATTCTTACATAAAAGTACAGTCTTGGGTGTCAGTGTGAGAAGGGAATGGAAGCTGCAATGCGTGGAGGAAGCCGTTTTGCAGATGGCTCACAGTTCTCTGACTTCCTGTCTGAGCAGCCACCTCCCTGAGCTACTTAGGAAATCCACCTCTGGGAAGGGTGAGATGTCGAGAATTTCCTCTTTTCCTTCTGCTTCATGGCAACTTGTGCTAGGAGCTGCCCTGCGAGTAGAGGGTAGCCTTGACCATTGGCCCTTCTGGCAGTGGCTGAGCCCAACCCCTGGGCATGGGCGACTTGAGGAGGGCATCTGTGGCTTAGGAGCTTCCCCACAGCCCAGAGGGGAGGAAAGCCTTGGTTTGGGTTATGGAGCTGTTGTAAGAAGGCAGCTGAGGGAAAGTAGCTCTTAGTTCCTCACCTACCACAGAGGCCGATGCTGTTTCCAATTCTTAGGGAGGAAGCCACGGGTCAGGTCTAGGCTAGGGCCTCCTTCGACATCCTTGGGCATTGGCTGCAGCTTCTAGACTCATAGTTGAGGAATTCCTGGGACTGCCTCGCGCACAGGGCCTCCTAGGTGGTGGTGCAGTGTTCCCTTGTGGACAGGGTTCTGGCCGTGGTGGGAAAGGCTTAGACCATTCACAAGAGCTCCTGGGCCGCCAAGTGAAACTTTCTGGCTCTGATGAGGTACACGTTTCTCCATCATCTGAGTTAGTCCAAGAATCAGATGCGTGTTTAGTGGTCTCTCGTCTTTTTCCTTGGCCAAAAGACAGGAAGGTTTGTCTGCAGCAGGGAGAGTCAGGTTAGCAACCTCTTTTTTTCCTCTGAAAATGACCTGGTTCTGGAAACCCAAATGTAGAAATCGACACATCAGAGAGGCATTGGACCTTTCAGAAGGAGTCAGTGGAGGCTCTGGGAGGAGGAGGAGGAGGAGGTTTCCTCAGAGATTTGAAATTAGGATTGAAGAGCAGCGGCAGGTGTCGGCGTCTCTGCAGGAGCCTGTCTCTGGTGTAAGCAGAGGTGCATATGACTAGATCCCACAGTGAGGTCGAAATTGCCTCTGTCCTTTGTGTCTCCTCCAGTGTACGGTAAGCCTGTTTTACCTTCGGGTTCAACGTCTCCATCGCCACTGCCGTTTCTTCACGGGTCACTGTCCACGGGCACGGCACAGCCTCAGCCACCTTCAGAAAGTGCTGAGAAAGAGCCCGAGCAGGACGGCCCCACCGGCCCTGCAGATGGTGGCACTGTGGAGAGCCTGCCACGGCCACTCAGCCCTACCAAGCTCACGCCCATTGTGCATTCACCACTGCGCTACCAGAGTGACGCAGACCTGGAGGCTCTCCGCAGGAAGCTGGCCAACGCGCCCCGGCCCCTGAAGAAGCGAAGCTCCATCACAGAGCCCGAGGGCCCTGGCGGGCCCAACATCCAGAAGCTGCTGTACCAGCGCTTCAACACCCTGGCCGGTGGCATGGAGGGTACCCCTTTCTACCAGCCCAGCCCCTCCCAGGACTTCATGGGCACCTTGGCCGATGTGGACAATGGAAACACCAATGCCAATGGAAACCTGGAGGAGTCCACCCCTGCCCAGCCCACAGTCCCGCTCCATGATGAGCCCGCCCCGTCGTCAGATGCCAATGACAATGAGTTACCTTCCCCCGAACCAGAGGAGCTGATCTGTCCCCAAACCACCCACCAAACTGCCGAGCCGGCGGAGGACAATAACAACAATGTGGCCACGGTCCCCTCCACAGAGCAGATCCCGAGTCCTGTGGCTGAGGCCCCGTCTCCAGGGGAAGAGCCGGTCCCTCCAGCACCTCTTCCCCCCACCAGTCACCCTCCCGCCACCTCCACGGTGGGTGTCATTGCTAGACCAAAGCCTGACCTTCCTGGTTATTCATGCAGCCAGGACCTCTGGGGTCCTTCCCTTGTGTCAGGCTGTCCTGGGAGCAGTAGGAGCCAGGCATGTCCCTCCCACCCTGAGTTAGGCCTGTGGGGAGGAAAGACAGTCACATGGCCACACAGACAAATGGGGCATGAAAGGGCACTACAAATGGGGCTCGGCCACACAAACGCACCATGCAGCCAAGCCTTCCCCAGACAGCTGGCCAGGGAGCTCCAGATTCTTTCCTGAGGAAGGGGAGCTGTCGCTGGCACCTGAAGGTCCTGCAGAGAAACGAGGGAAGAAGCATCTAGACAAAGGCCCAAGGTGGGAGGTCAATGTTGATGGAGCAGAGAGGGAGCCAGGTGCCATCTCAGGGAACCCTCAATGGGGTCCTCTCCACTAGGATCTGGTGCCGTAGCAGGAAGAACCCTATTGCGCCAGGGCAGGAACAAGCCGCTGGCTCCCGTCAGCCCCTTGGCAGTCACACGCCACACTCCCTCCTATAGGGTCTTCTCAGGAGTAGCCAGAAGCCCAAACACAGCCATGTCCCTCTGTGAGTGAGCCAGGGACTCAGGCCCCAGAGCAGTGCTCTCCCTCACAGCGAGCACAGAGTGGCCCATGTGGCCTGGCCCTTATTTGGGGTGGTTACCTGGGTGCCGCTTCTGCCTCTCCAGGGCTGCTCTGTGGAGCCTCTGTCTCTGGGCCTTAGTTCTCCCCACTCTTTCCCAGCAGGCATGGGTTCTTAGACTCTAGCGGACCACCTTTAACTTGAAAGTGTGCTTGCTTCCCAACAGAGCAAGCGGACCAACTTGAAGAAGCCCAACTCAGAGCGGACAGGGCACGGGCTGAGAGTCCGGTTTAACCCTCTGGCACTACTCCTAGACGCATCCCTGGAAGGAGAGTTTGATCTGGTGCAGAGGATCATCTATGAGGTGAGCTGCAGCCGGGCATTAGCGCACACTGCTGGGCGATAGGGGGCGGGTGCTCACAGGCCATGTGTCCTAGGTGGAAGATCCCAGCAAGCCCAACGATGAAGGGATCACGCCGCTACACAATGCCGTCTGTGCCGGCCACCATCACATCGTGAAGTTCCTGCTGGACTTTGGCGTCAACGTGAATGCTGCTGATAGTGATGGATGGTGAGGCCCGTAGGGGTGTGGGGTGGAGAGATTCATTTTCCCCTACTGTATATAAGGAAAGCATGCATGTTCTATACAGTCAGGGAGCAGGGAAGAGAGAATTAGAGCAAGGACACCCATCATTTCATCCTTGAAAGACAGCTGTTGTCAGGGGTTTTTTTTTTGCCTGTCCTTCCAGCCTTTTCTCTTGATTGTTTTGTTAAAAACATGGCTGTGGTTACGCTCCTCCTGTGTCTCATGATTAGCATTGCAGTCTAAGCATTCTGGGAATCATTCTGTTTCCCCTTTTTACGTGCTCCATATGAACTATTCAGACTCCACGCTCCGTGTGAAAAGCAGCCTTGGTGTCCCCTGCAGTCAGCCATGTAGGTTGTTGCACTGTTATCTGTTTGCCTTCGGGAGCTCTGCTGCTGGGCGGGTCCCATCGGTCTCCTGTCCAGTGAATGTTAGGAACTTTCAGACAGCTGTCATTGTGCTGTATTTGAATCGTGGTAAAATATACATAACATAACATTTCACATCTTAGCTATTTTTAAATGTGCCTTTCAGTGTGTTACGTACATTCACGTTGCCATGCAGTGTCATCTGTGGATGGGCCATTTCTTAACCCAATCCCTGTGTGCCTTTATATATGGTGTGAAACAATCGGCTGTAGAAATCGTGCCATTAAAGAAACAGCACAGAGACCTGATGGCATCAGGCACACGCCTTCCATGAGGTTCTTCCAGGGCAGTCTCTGAGGGCTCACCCTACAGGACAGGTGGCACTGAGGCAGTGGCAGGTCCGCACCTTCACCTGCGCTCTCTTCCAGGACGCCGCTGCACTGCGCTGCCTCTTGTAACAGCGTTCACCTCTGCAAGCAGCTGGTGGAGAGTGGTGCCGCCATTTTTGCCTCAACCATAAGCGACATTGAAACTGCTGCAGACAAGTGTGAGGAGATGGAGGAAGGCTACATCCAGTGCTCCCAGTTTCTATACGGTAAGCAGGAGAGGCCTGGGGCGCGGTGGTGCTGTCCACCATGGTACTGCCATGGCAACAGTCAGCCTGTGCCAGAGAAGCTTTAGCACAGCCTCTTGTTTTTTTAAGACACGAGACAAGGTCTCATTCTGTCACCCAGGCTGAAGTGCAGTGTCACGGTCATGGCTCACTGCAGCCTCGACCTCCCAGGCTCAATTGATCCTCCCACCTCAGGCTCCCAAGTAGCTGGGACTACAGGCTTGTTCCATCACAACTAGCTAATTTCTTGTACTTTTTTTTTTTTTTTTTTTTTTTTTTGGTAAAGACAGTGTTTCGCCATGTTGCCCAGGCTGGTCCCAAACTCCTGGGCTCAAGCGATCTGCCCACTTTCAGCTTCCCAAAGCGCTGGGATGACAGGTGTGAGCCACCGTGCCTGGCACACAGCATTCTCAAGCTGTTCTGCCGTCTTCAGGGGCAGCCAGGACGTCTCTCTCAAGTGGAGGTCACACCACCTCTTGTTCTCATTCCTGAAACATGTTTGAAAGTCCATGTTGTTAGAAGATTCTGTGCCAGATTCCCAAGGAAACAAAATGACTTGGCTGTGCTTTGTCATTTTGTAGATGTTCTGTACCCTTGCTTCTGGAAGCAGGGCCAGCTCCATTCTTGGGGTGGCCTGGGGGCCTGGTCATTCCCTGGAAACATGATGAATGAGGCTCATGTCCTAATTAAGCTGCTTTAGCCGGGGCCGGATTTTCTCAGAGCTGGGGCATCTTTGTTCTGAGTATTCAAGAGTCACAAGTCATTTATTCCACACAGTAATTGAGAACATACTATGTGCCCTACACTGGGCCCTGGAGATAAAGCTATCCTTGAAAACAGCCAGGTGATGCCCTCGACCCAAACCCCCACAACAGAGCCAAGCAACAAATGCTCAGGCTGTGTGGTAGGGCTGGGGAGGCACAGCAGCCCCCAGCTGAGTCCAGCCAGTGTGAGGAGGAGGCTGCATTCACAGTGGCACCACCAGAGGGAGGGGAAGCTCCCCACAGTCACCACAACTGGGCCTCGGACACAGAGAGTCCTGCATAAGGGCCGTTTCTCGGGGACCTACAAGTAGCTGCTCAGTCAGCAGCTGCGGCTCAGTTGTGTGTAGTTTGTTCATTGCCATGACTAGAGCCAGCCACAGCGGCTCTGGTTCGTGACTTTAGAAATCTATTCTCACTGTGATGGCTGAGTGTCACCTTAAGAACAGCACACCTTTGTCCTGTCTGTCCAGCAGGACTTAGAGAGGGCTAGCAGCAGGAGCAGCACCTGGGCCGGGCGGGGGAGGTGTCAGGCGGGGCCTCGCCTCCAGCAGTCTCTCATCTCCACCGCTGCTCTGTAGGGCCTGGCGAGAGCAGCCTCGGCAGACGCATGACCGTGTCCCATTCCTTGAGCAGGACCCCTCTCTGCGGGCCATCCTCTGCTGAGGCCTGACCGATGTTCTCTGGTTCCAGGGGTACAGGAGAAGCTGGGTGTGATGAACAAAGGTGTGGTGTATGCTCTGTGGGACTACGAGGCCCAGAACAGTGATGAGCTGTCCTTCCATGAAGGGGACGCCCTCACCATCCTGAGGCGCAAGGACGAAAGCGAGACTGAGTGGTGGTGGGCACGCCTTGGAGAACGGGAGGGCTATGTGCCCAAAAACCTGCTGGGGGTGAGCACTCGGGTGACTTGCTGGGAAACCAGCAATTCTTGTCTCCCTGCAGCATGTGTTCCTACCCTGCTGGGGGGCTGGGGAGGGAGGCTGCCTTTCTCTGAGCCTCAGCAGCCCTCCCTGTACAGGGGGAGGTACCTACTTGGCAGAGCTGACCTGAGGCTCAGGCAGGGCCCCAGGAGGTGCCCAAGCTGTGCTCCCGCCATGGAGGCCCATGTGGAGGCCGAGTGCCTCAGTGAGGGGCTGCTCATTGAGCTTGGTTCATGATGAACTTCAGCAAGCAGGCCTGCTCACCTTACCCACACTTTCCCCAGTCTAGAAATCTCTGCGGCCTAGAAATTTCTGCAACGGAGGAGGGAGGGGGGAACGTGTAAGCTGCTAGCTCTGTGTTGGACTTGTGATTCCATCAGTCCTCTGGCAGAGGGAGCTGTTTCTGCCCTCTGTGTGCCCTGTAGAGCTGCCAGGGCCTTCCTGTTGAGCCAGCTTCTTGGCCAGGCAAATACAGCAGGGAGCCAGAGACCCTTGCCCAGGGGAGCTTATGACCTTGAGAGCCACAGGCGGTCACAAGTCTTTAGGTGGCATGAAGTGCTGTGAGAGACACAGGATGCCCCCCCAGAACACCCTGTTTCCCTCTCAGCACTTCAGGCCACCTCAAGACTTTCAAGGGGGGTGGGTGGTCTCAGTGTAGAGGTGCAGCTGAGCATTGGCCGGAGGGAGAAGGTGCTGTGCGGCTGTCCGGTGGCCGAGGTGAGGAGCAGGGGTCAGTGTGGCTTCCCGTCCTGACACAGCTCCGTTGCTTCCCAGCTGTATCCACGCATCAAACCCCGACAGCGCACGCTCGCCTGAACTTCCTTTTGGAGCACTGCGTGGTCTTGCCAGCTACCAGGAGCCACTGAAGAGATTATTCTGCTGTTTTCCCAGGAAAGCTGAAGCTAGGAAATGGTCTTAATGGTGCTCACTTTAGCAGACAGCGTCCACAATGTGAATCCTGCAGTTTCTAGGTGAGGCCCTTTCTCCAGTTTGCCCATAAGTGGGAGAGGTACTTTTGCCTCCAAGGACTGAATTTTGCCAATTACTGTAAATCCAAATAAATACCCGCTTTCCAAACACCCACCCCTCTTGCCAATAAGTCCTATAATTAACCCATGGTTGGTTGCCAGTGAAGACAAGTTCTGACTGACTTGGCCCCAAGGCTGTCATCCTCCAGCAGTGAACGCTGTCTGCTGCTGTGGGGCCCGCTCCCCTGCGACAGCCCCGCCTCCTGTCCCAAATCGGAGACTCATCCTCCCCACACATGATCCTTCTTCCCTTCATCACCAAAGGAGCCTCTGTATGGAAACTTCTGTCCAGTGTGCTGCCCAATGTGTATGCCTCCCAGCAACCACCCTGCTTGGCCGCCTTGGGGGGTTCTGCTTCCTTTTCCAGGTGCTGCTCTAGTTCACCTAAAGGCTGATTGTGCAGGCCCGGTGCTGTGGCTGGACTGCTGTGCCATGGGCACCAGGGCCCCCCCAAGACCAGGTGACAGTCAGGAGCACCTCAGCATGGACTCTTCTCCCTGATCTCACAGCCTCTCATGCTGCTTAGTGTGATTCTGACCCTCGCAAGCTCGAATTCCAGTTCTTTGAATGCAGTCAGGCGCTGGAGGCCATGGCAGTGGAGGGCAGTGGGGGTTGGGAGCTGGACTGGTGTGAGGGCAGAGCAGGGCCAGGTGGACGGGGATGTTTGGTGCCTGGTGTCAGGAGGCGCCGCCACCGAGAGGGAGCAGCTAGGGCAGAGGAGCTGGAGGCAGGGGCCACCCCTCTGCTGCTGGTCTCCCTGCCCAGGCTGCTGTCAGGCCATCACCTTTGTCTGAGGCCCAGCCTCAAGGCAAGGAGGGTGCGCTTCACTGAGGTGTGAATTGTACGTACAGGCTTTTTATATACCAAAAGTATTTTTTGACTAGACCATTCAAAGCTCCCCGAACTATGTTGGAAATTTTTTTTCCTCATTAAACTACAGGCCCTTAGGCTCTATTTTCATGTATGAGTCTTGTGTGTAATTTATGTATAGATGTGTGTAGTGTCACTGAGGCAGCACTGTAGCCCATCACCTTGGAGCATTGACTGACTGTACATAGTGTGGTGAAGAAAAGTGAACTCCATTGTGGAGCAGCCTGGCCACTGCCAGCACGACACTGCTGACGCTGTGTAAATGTGCACAATAAACCCGTCTCACCCCGGTGGCTGTGAGTCTTGTTTCTGGAGCCAGATTGCGCTGTGGTATGCCGGCTCAGGTGATCTGGACACAGGAAGGCAAGGCCGTGTCCGTATGTTCAAAATAGGTTTTAATCATCAGCTTGATATACAAATTGCTGTACAGTCATCTTAATAAAGTGAAATAGTGAGTGAAAAGTACAAAACAAAGCTCTCACGTTCCCCTTAGTGAAGTATCAAAGGATCACTCATAGCCCAAAATTAGTGACAAGGTAAGTGGCCAGTCTGTAAAGCAGGCTAAGGCAAGTGCTGTCAACTGGCTGTTACAGGCGAGCAGGCCCCGCTGCAGATCAGAGGCCCGGGTTCCTGCTACCCAAACTTTCCGTGAAGAACGAATGAAACGAATATTGATGGGCCAGAACCTCCCAGTAAACCTGGGAACTCACAGAAATGGTATATATTATGCTAAAAATAGTTCAGCAGTAGTGTAGCTCAGTCTCTCCCACCCCCAATTAAGTATTAACAATACACAAATTCTAAAACATGAAGCTGTTTAAAGCATTAATAGACTGTGAACATATTGCACTAGATAGGTGAACACTCTGTTTCTCCAAATAGGTGAGCTGCATTTCCCAGCACAAGCAGGGTTAATCCCCGTGGTGTGCAAGGAGCAGGCTGCTGTTCCAAGCGACTCGGTCCTGGTGACCACGTGTACTCCAAGCTCAGCCCCACGGACAGTTACTGGTCCCGAGATTCGTAGAGGAGCTTGGCAGCCTGCAGGGTGACCAAAGACAAGATCAACAGAGAGACCTACTTGGTCCTACGCCTGGTGGAGCCAAGCCTGTGTGCGTTTCAGGGGGGACGGCGAGGCAGCCCAGTTGAAGGGGAACAGGTGGGGGGTGGGGGCCTCCTAGGAAAGGTGAACTTTTGCTCTAAGACAAAGGGCCCCCCTGGCCTCAGGTACCTTGTGCATGGCCACTAGCCACGCCACCGCCTGCCTCCTGCCCACATTTGCGTCCTCCACTGCTGTCAGCTTCAGCTGGGTCACGCCCTCTGTCCCTGGCACCGTATACTGCAGGAACATGCCTGTGGCCCGTGCGTTGCCTCCTAGAGGAGGGAGACGAAGTAAGAGACCCAAAGGAGACCCTGAGTGCCCAGGCGGCCACCAGCCCCAAGGAACTGGTGGCCAGGACACCTTCCTAACCTTGTGCTGCTCTAAGAGTAGCCTCGTAGTGAGGGCTGGTGCTCAGGAGCACCCGGGGATCACCATCTCCTCAGGCCTCTGGGAGGAAACCCCAAGCTTACAGGGTAACAGCCTGGTGCCTCCAGGGCCCGGGACAAGCGAGCCACATCACCAGGAACTGCCCGAGAGGTGCTGCTGTGCCCTTCAGAGAGCCCCCAGACAAGGCTGGCTCTTGCAGAGGGGCCCACCTGCGCCCAGGGCTGGGGAAGAGTGGAGGCTCCCTCGAGAGCGCCCTGGCCACCGACAGGCCAAGCAGATGCTCAGGGGCATGGCTCGTCTCCCTGTTGAGAAGCAGGGCTGGCATAGAGGGGATCGACAGTGCAAAGGCCCAGTGCCAAGGAAATGCCACCCCAGCCTGGACACAGGCTATCTCCCCAGATCGGACACCCATGCTGGGGATTGTCTGCTGGGACCCAGGCTCCCTGCCTTTGGGCGATAGCCAGCTGTTCCAGTGACGACGACTCAATTCCAGCACTTGCTCCAAGAATAAACCGCTCAAGAGAGTGGCTCTTCAGTCAGGGCTGGTGTTGAAAGAGAGCCGTGGGATGCAGCCTCCCATGAACTTGGTGACTCGAGGGGAGGCCCCATTGTGAGCAGTCGACCTCTCGGGAGACTCTGCCATCAGACACATCTCCCCATCAGCATCCAGGCCGACTCTTCTGTCGTAGGTGGAGTGGGCGCCGAGGCTGCAGGTGGGCATGCAGCGACCACGCTTGCTCCGGAAGAGGCCGGAGCAGCCTATGATGTGCTGTCCCCTGGCAGGCCCGACAACCATGCCTTTTTTTTTTTCATCTAGCCCAAAGTGTCAAGAACAACACTTTCCTTTTTTTTTTTTGTCTCTCTCACCCAGGCTGGAGTACAGTGGCACGATCTTAGCTCACTGCAATCTGTGCCTCCTGGGTTTAAGCGATTCTCCTACCTCAGCCTCCTGAGTAGCTAGGATTACAGGCACTGAACACCACGCCCTGCTAATTTTTGAACTTTTAGTAGAGATGAAAGTACTACTTTTAGTAGTAGAATACTTTCACTGTGTTGGTCAGGCTGGTCTCAAACTCCTGACCTCAGGTGATCTGCCTACCTCAGCCTCCCAAAGTGCTGGGATTCCAGGCGTGAGCCACCGCACCCAGCCTCCGGAACCACACTTTCATAAGCCACATTCTGTGGTTAAGGCATGCACCCCCACCCCTCCACTGGAGAACCTTGCCTGGGCTCTGTAGCAGGGCCACAGCTCTGCCCACCACCTGGATTTGCTTGATAAAGCGCCACTGGATCCTAGCCATGGCCATCTGTCACCCTGTCATCTGTGGCTGACTCTGCCTTCACCACAGCACATGTGGCTGGAAGACGGTGCTGGGGTCTGAAAGGCTCTAAGGAGACTGGGCAGGCAAGGCTCACTGCACGCCCCCCCCCCAAGCCACCACAAGGGGATGCAGTGCCAGAAGCCATGGGGAGGGTCTGCCCATGAAAGCAGCCCAGGAGGCCATGTCGCCCTAGCCTTGGGAGTACTGGTTGCCTTAATCAATGGCCCTCACCTGAGCCTCAGGCTCTGCAGGAGGTAGGCAGAGGGGAGCGCCTGCTGTGACCCCGGCTTCTCCAGACCCTACCCTTTGCTCCTGGGCATCTACACCTCGCAGCCTGCTCAAGGTAACCAGCCTGATGCCATCCCGGCTTCATGCACGTCCTGAGCTCAGGACAGAGGTGGCAAAACACTGGCCCAGGCGTCTCGCCTCATTCAGAAGGCTGACAGAAGGGCCAGGAGAGTCAGGGGTCCCAGGAGGCCAGGTTGAGCTGGGGAGCAGCAAGCTATGGTGGGAAGGGCAATGTTGGGAGAGGCCCCCGAGGCCAGGTGAGTCCCCGTGGGCACTCACGCCCCCTAGCCTCAGCCTGTTCAGAGCTGGCAGGTACCGACACAGAGCTGTCAACTGCGGGGTAACACTCCCCACAAGACAACTGAGCAAGTACATCTGCTGGGGTGTCTTCATTTATGTTTTATAAACCCACGTGGCGGACCCAGCTTCTCCCTTAAGTCAACCACAACAAGGGAATTCGGGTTTCACAGAGAACCTTGGCATGGACCACCCCGCGGACAGAAGCCAGGTGGCGAGGGCCCGCCACGTGCAGGGAGCCCCGGCAAGGAGGAAGAGGCTGACCTTCAAAGACAGGCTGGCTCCCCAGGAGGCTGGTGTAAGCGTGAGTGTCTTTTTCTACGGCAAGAAGGTGGGCAGGCAGTGGAGAGAAGGAGCAACCAAGAGCCGGTGAGAGAACAGAAAGCAACACGGGTTACGGCACGTGCATCTGTCAGCACAGTTTGCAGATAACGGAATGAGAGCTCCCCGTCAGCGGAGTTTAGTGGAGAGGCCCAGGCTGGGCTAGATGCTCTAGCGGCTCACCAGGAAATGCACCAGGGGTTTAGTCTGCACAGACGCCCTCGGGCGGAGGGCTGAGGTGCTGGCTCCCGATGAGCCACCACTCAGACCTTTTTGGGAATCTCAGTTACTGCATTTGGGGCTTTATTTATCCTTAGTTTGAGTCCAACAATAAACGGAATGATACATTAGCACACTTAGAGCGGAGGAAGTCACTACGACATGCTGAGGCAAATTTCCCTTTGTGGTCTTATACTTAAGTCCCGACTCACCTGGCGAGTTCTAAAGCCAATGAGTAAACACACGCCCTCCCAGCAGAGGAAAGGTAGGCTGTCCTGGAGACCCAGCCGACCCCGCTCCTCAGGGCGGCTGCCTGATCCCAAAAGTGCACGCTCCTCTTGTCACCCACGTGTGGCACCAAACCCTCCTGGCTTAGGAAAGGACGTGCCGGCATTTACCTCCAGGAGGGAAGCCTTCCGTGAGGATCTGCACGGTGGAAATGTGCGCAATTTCGATTTCATAGTGGCTGTCTCCATCCAGAAACAAGTATCTACGTCAAATAAAAGCGTCCAAATCAGGTCACTCAGCCTCAGGTCAGTGCGACCAAGGCTCCCGGTCTGTGACAACGCTGCCCTGTGCCCACAAGGGTCTGGCTCTTACCTCTGGTTATTGGAAAGACGACAAATCATAGTTTCAGATTTCTCTGAGTTTCCAAAAGTGACGAGGAAGGTGGCTCCTTGGGACACAAAAGCAAACGTGAGAACAGGGCCTGCTTCTTTTCCACCTAACCCTTCCCACGAGTGCCAGTCGGAGACACACGTACAGAGGACAGAGTGGAAACAGCAGGAAACAAACCACAGCTTTGTTCCAAGGACCCCTTCAGCTGAGCAAAAAGGCAGTCACAGATCAAGGGTTTAAGAGGTAAAACAAAAGGTACTGCTCGAGACAGGTCCTGCTCACTTATAAAGCTCCTACATCCTTCAAAGAAAGGACGCAGGGAATTCATCGCCAAGGCCCAGATCAAAGAACAGTAAACCCCTCTGCTCACACGTCCTAAGAGCTGGCAGGACAGGACCAAGACAGCAGAAAGGAAAGAAAACCCGACCATCCAGCCAGGGACCACGCCCGTTTCACCCAGGACAGAGCTGTGGGGAGGCAGACAGGTGGTCCTAGGCCCACAGTGGGCAGGCTGAGGACAGGAGGCCAGAGGCCGGGACGGCAGTGGCCAGAGGTGGCAGGCAGTGGGGAGGTGCTGCTGCTTGTTGCTCAGAGATTCCAGGGGAGGAACACCCGAAGCCCCTGGAGGACGTCCTCCTCCCACACCAGGACCCTGGGTCTGCGTCGTGCTACTGGGCAAAGGTCTCCGGACTCTCATCAAGGAGCCACGGTGGTCACAAAGGCCCGAGCACCGGCGC